AAGCTGTGTTGATGAACAAACAAATATTAGAAAGCAGGCACAGGATATAAAAGGGTAAAATGGTAGTCTCAAGAACTGAGGGGTTAGATCTGGAAACTAGCAAACTAGCCTTAGCTTAGGGAGAGGCTAATAGAGTATAAAACCTCCAGAGATTCTGTTGACATGCTTTACTGTCACAAGCTCATACACACAACTTTCTGGTAGGAATTGATACTTCTACAAATGTAAGTGTTAATCATAAAATGCATTGAATGCACATTGTAATCACAGAAATCATAGAGAAGTAGGGCTGGAATAGAAAGTGTTTCATAGAATAATCAGAGTGATACCATTACTGCTGCTGTAAAACTGGAAAATACAGTGCTGTTGCTTATTCATTTCTAATCAAGTCTTTAAAATTACAATTTAACTATTATGAGAGTTTAAAAGATACCAAAAAGAATCTTCAGAATCTTTATCTTGCAGCCTTCTGAATTATAGAAATGAACTCTCTATCTTGCCTTCTCCAGGCATTTTTTATTTTGTGCTACAAAAATAAAGTGCATGACAAAGCCATGTGTTCAGAGCCTCCTGACTTGAGTGGGCCAAAGGCCTACTCTCCAGCCAGGGGACAACAGAAGGCTTCTCCACAGCTGAAACAGGCTTACTGACAGGCCTGTGAGTCTATTTTCTGGCCAATCCAAGAGCTAGCTGCAGCAGGTGTATAGCTGCTGTCTGAGAGCCCTTTAAAGTTCCCAGTGTGCTGACATTTGAGCACCAGAAATCCTTCAAAGTTCCTGAGTTGCAGGCAGCAAGGATAATGGGGCTCCCTGTGAGACTGGTGGTGATAAAGGCTGATAAGGATCAGCTCCTGCCTTCAGCACATGCACAGAGGCATGGGTGAAGGGGCTCCATGCAAGCAGCAGTAGGAGCTTATTGGAAGTACAGACTCCCATCAGCCCCTGTCAGTGCTTGCAAGGATCCTTCTCACCCTGTAAGGGTGCTGTGTGATCTCCCAGCAATGGGGGCACACCATGCACTCTTGGGGCTGCTGGGACCCAGTGTCTGCAGCTGCTAGGTGCTACTGGGACTAAGAGTCCCTTCAGCTGCGGAACTCGCACCCCAGCTGTGCACGGCAGAGACCCTGCTACACATGCAAATTAAAGCTGGATGGCAACCAGTTATAAAATTAGTATACATTTTCAAGGTCTAACTTCATAGTTGGTTGGACCTTTTTATGTTGTGAAAGGTACTTTGCATCTATACCTGCTCAGTTAACTATGCAATTAACCAGTTAATTGTGTAATACCTGTAACGTGTAGAGGAACCCTATGAGCTGCTCCACATACTGGTGATGAATGCTGTATGACACTATGGAGTCATATTTAATATTTGTAAACTAAAAGTACTATAAAAATCTGCTGGACTATGCACTGTTACAAAATAGAATAGTTTCAGTGTATGGTTAATAAGAAAAGGATTGATTTAAATCAGGAAGCAGAAACCTTGATTTAAATAAAGATTTTTAATATTGCTGTTCATTTGTATTTTCTAATATTTTTCCTAAAGTAAGAGTTTTCTTGGTCCTTTCTTGCTAACTTGTTAATTTATGCAAGTATGTGCCTTAATATAAAATTAATATCTGAATTAATGTATTTTATTTAATATATTAAGATTTTTAAAATTTTTTGTCAAGTTGTATTTAGATGGATTTGGGAATTTAAATAAAAGGCAAAGGAATGAGTGTATCATGAGAATGCATCTAAAACTGAATATTCAACAGCATTTAAAAATATTTTTCTGAAAATTAAATAAAACTGCCCTAAATGAATCTGGATACACTTGAAAAATAATTTAATCAAAATATGTTTTGAATGTATTACTTAATTACTAAAACTGAAAAAAAACCATTATCTGTATCTCTTAAATTAAGCTGTTTGTTTCTGGTTACCATCTCCCTCAAGATTTTAGGACTAGCAAAGCACATGCTATCCTCATTCACTTATAGGTTTTAAAAGGAATTTTTATAAATTGAGAAAATCAATTTTTATCCAGCACATCTGACAAATCTAGAGGCAAACTCATGTCATAAATTTAAGAATTTTTAGATCTTACTATATATGATGAATGCTTTATCCAGGCTACCATAGAAACATTTTCGGCTTACACCATTTGTATATTGTATATAACTACACCCTGTCAAAAGGTAGGACGGGAAAAAAAGTGCCCTATTGGTATTTATTTACAGTTTGTGGAAGCTATAAGAAAACTAAGGAGGAATGAGTTCATCTGTAAAATCTGAGTTTGTATTTAGTTGGTCTAATAAAAGATATCGTATTTACTCAAAGAACCATGTCTGCCTCTGTAAAATCTTGAGATTTTCATATAACAGAGAAGAGCTTGTAAAAGGAGTTATGTAACTTGACAATTTACTGAATAGCCATTGCAGCAGTAGTTGGGGTGGTTTACAAAGGGCAACTCTTTAGGCCCAAAATATTAGGTCACTAAAATGTTTTCATATAATCTACTGTCAGAAGTTTAGCGTGTGGGGTCCTTTGGCTAGGAGCCCCTTTAAAAACAAAACGAAACAACCCTCCCAAACCAAACACAAACAAAATAATCTCCCCAAACTGTATTACCCATTCGCTTCTGTAGCAGTTGTTAAGATCCAGGAGTTGAAAACTGTCTCAAAGCCTTCAGATTTAGTACACTGTTATGAAATACTTATCCATCTAGTCACACTGCTCAGAGCACAGTATTGATGTTCAGATGCTGAGGAAAATTTCTCAGCAAACAAATACATTTTGGGAGACAGCACACAGACAGGAGAGCCATTGCAAAATATCTCTGGATACCACTTTCACAAATCATGAATGCCAGATTGGAAGAAAGGATGATTTTGGGACACTTAAAGCCCATATCAGATCTTTGCTTTCTAAGATCCCCTACTGCCTCCTTGTCCCCATTTCCGTAAGTCTTGGGTTAGTTTTACCTTCTCTTATGATTCTCCCTAATATTTTGCTGGTGATACAAGGTGCTCTTTTCTTCCTTCAGTACAAGGTGTGTCATAGCACAACACTTCATAGGTCCTACCGACCAGGAAGTGACCAAAATTCTGAAGCTTGACTATATGTTCTTAAGGTGAGAAGCTTTCAAAGGACTCTTTGTTTAGCCTCAAAATGATTTTTCTTCCATTCCACCAACCATCAACAGAACTTTAGATTAAATACAGCTGCTTTTTCTTAGGGGGTAGCTGATTTAAATGGCACTTACAGTGAACAAGGGTCCTCTTCGGTAAGGTCCGATAAATACACATTTGCAAAGTGGATGAACAACATCCCTATGGCTTGTTTGGAAGTATCTAAAAACCTGTACAAAATAAAGACTGGATTTCAAGAGGTACTCACATTAAGAGGTAAAACACAGTAAAGCCTTGCTAATTCATATGAATTAGTTAGAAAGCCATGCTAATTATTAAATTGTTCAAATTGGCAAGTCAATACACAGAAAAATAATACCTCACAGTTCTTAGTTTATCTGGCAAAGTTCAGCTTTATATGTGGTTTATTAGTCTGCCTGTAAATATTCTATCATATACTGGTAAACAAAGTCTTAGTAACTTGAGACCACATTACCACATCTTCTATTATAATTTAAGCAATGGGGAGGTACTATCAGTATTTCATTTGGATTACTGAAATTTAGTGTAGTGACACTAAATCTAGCCTGATCTTCAATGGGCTTTTGTATACCACATAACGCAAGATCTTGCTAGAGACTGCAATCCTTTTTTGGTTCATGCATAAAATCATATCACTGGCTATTGCATCTGTGCCTTAACAACTTGGTAATGCAAACCAATGTTGATACTTTAGTCTGAAAGTATAAATAGCTATACTGGCTTTCAATTAACAGTACGTTAACATAAGTTTGCAGAATAATTACACAACACAAATTATTCTTTTCACGAGTAAAAAAATTGGAAAAAAAAATCATTTTCTAATATGATAAATATTTGTAAAAAATGCTTATTATTTGAACTATGTGCAGCAGTTTCAGCTGCAGTTACAGTCCTATCAACAATGTCCTCTTGATCAAAATGAGGTCACTGGACATTGTAGAGTTCTTCAAGAACCACAGAGAGACCTAGAGAAATTGGAGGATTGGACCAAAAGAAATCTCATGAGGTTCAACAAGGACAAGTGCAAAGTCCTGCATTTAGGACAGACCCATCCCAAGCACCAGTACAGGCTGGGGACTGACTGGCTGGGCAGCAGCTCTTCAGAAAAGGCCCTGGGGGTTACAGTGGACAATAAGCTGAATTTGAGCCAGTGTACCCTTGTTGCAAAAAAGGCTAATGGCATACTGGACTACATCAGTAGGAGCACTGCCAGCAGATTGAAGGAAGTGATTCTTCCCCTCTATTCAGCACTGGTGAGGCTACATCTGGAGTATTGTGTTCAGTTTTGGGTCCCCCACTAAAGAAAGGAAGTGGACAAATTGGAGAGAGTCCAGCAGAAGGCAGTGAAAATGGTTAGAGGCTGGGACACATGACTTCTGAGATGAGGAGACTGAGTGGCGATTTAATAGCGGCCTTTAACTACCTGCAGTGTGGTTCCAAAGAGGATGTAGCCAGACTGTTCTCAGTGGTAGCAGATGGCAGAAAAGGGAGTAATGGTCTCAAGTTGCCACAAGGGAAGTTTAGGTTAGGTATTAGGAAAACCTTTCTTTCTCACCAGGAGGGTAGTAAAGCACTGGAATAGGTTACCCAAAGAGGTTGTACAATCTCCATGCTTAAAGGTTAAGACCCACCTAGGGATGATGTGTTTGGGGATAGTCCTGCTTTGAGCAGAGGGCTGGACAAGACGACTTCCTGAGGTGCCTTCCAACCCACTTTGCTTCTATAATTTCTTGATACCTGAACTGATACTTATTTATTTGATGTCTTTTTCAAAAAGTTGGATTAATGTTTCCATAAACAACCCCCCCCTCCCCCCCAAAAAAATAAC